ATCAAGTGTCAAAAAAGCTTTCAACGTGCTTCTGTCTTCAGTACACACAACTATTCGAACGCAATGATGCGTTCCACGACTTTTTGACGTATTTGTTTTGAATAGGATAAGGAATACATCAGGAAGTAAAGAGGGATGAAGGCTAAGGATGAGGAACTGAGGAATGAATGAAGCAGACGTGATAGAGAGATAAGAAAGGAAAGAAGAAGGTATGAGATAAATTATGAGGGAAAAAGAAGTAGTAAAGATTATAAATGAGTCAGTTTTGGTTGAGGGATAAATGACATGGAGAAGGTGATGAAAGGTACTTCCCTACTCTCTTGTAGGAAGGAGGTAAAGATTGAAGAACTTCAGGAAGAGGACAGCTGATATGTTAAAGGTAGACGGATGAAATGACGCATTTTTCCTTTTGACCCAACAGATCGAAAGCCACAAACTTAACTTCCGGGAAACCGCCAAAGCTCGCGTGGACCATGGCGCAGAAATCATCGTCACCCACTCCCCCGGGATTGAGACGGGAGGCACCTCCCCTCGCCTGTCCTCCAGCGGCAGCATCAACATAATGGAGTCGCCCCAGCTCTCCACGCTGGCACAGGACGTCACCGCCGCCCTAGCCAAACAGGGTTTATGAGCTTTTTGGACGTCCCTCAGAACAAATCTGCGCAATTAGTCCCTCCTGCTCACCGTTGTCGCCCTCCCCCAACATCCAGTTTGGCTCATTCCACGCAACATGACCCCAATGCACATAACCTCAGCAGATGTAACTAATCGGCTGTGTTGTTCATCCGTTCAGATTTTAAAGACTGAATTCTCTGGTCTTTAAAAAAAAATAAAAAAAAGGGAAACCTCTCGGTTCATTCCACCACACAGATATAGACGTTTCTGTTTCGGATTTGATTGGCCGAAGTGGCTGCGATTGTTTCGAAAGCGGTTTTTACGATTGTATGATGAGTTTGGAAGACCACAACTCCTGAATTTATACGGTACTGAATGCGATTTAATGCTACTAGATCATTGTAAAGAGAAGGGGCATCTGGAGTCAAGAAGTAATCTCTATGTCATGTATTTGTTCTGACCCACTGCTGAACTACTTTAGTGGCGGGGCATAGAGATACTGTAACTTCTTGACTCCTGATCCCCCATCTTTGATTAACGTTGTCTTAAAGGATACAGATGTGTGTGAAACTTGAGGGAAAAACGCAAAAGAATGGCTGACAAATGGGCATGTCTGCTGAAACGTGACATCGGTTTGTCCGTACGTTTGTCCGTATGTCGGGATTTTAATGTTTTCTTTTCTGCTGCGTTTACTTTTTTACGTAAATGTTACTGTAGTGTTAAAGTTTTGTACTCCCCCCCCCCGTGGCTGCTCTGTCTTATCGGCCTTTATAACCACGGCCGTTGTGTAAAATGTTGAGCAATGAACGGCTAGCTTTCTGGTAGTTTTTTTTTTTTTTTTTCCTTAAAAGCTGCCTGTTTACGTTCATTTTTATATTTGCGCTGTAGTTTTTCAAGATCTCATAATACTGTTGTGCTGGCATGGCAAAAAAAAATAAAAAGATGATTGAGTTAGAGCTATTTGCTAATATCTTAAAACGTTTCAGTGTGAGAGTAAAATGGCCCGGATGAAATCAAAGCGAGGCCTGATGAAACCTTGCAATCTTTTTTTGGTTATTTTTCTAATAGACTGGGTGGTACAACGTGTTTGGATGGGTAAAAAAAAACCCAGTTTGTTGAAGTTAAGTGTGAAGTATGAAGCTTTATATGAAAACATTCCTAATGGGGGGGGAGGATAACTTCTGTGTCGATTGTTGCTGGAAGCTGAAATTCAAAGGAATGGAAGTTAGAGTTTTTTTGTTGTTTTTTAATTAAAATTAAGCTCTTCTAGCATATTTTACGTTACCTTTATGAAACCCTTTTTGTCAGAAGCCCCCTCCTCGTCCCTCAGCCAGTGTTACCCAATGCTTCCTCTCCCCCTTTCCTTCTTTGCTTGTGTAAGTGTATTTAAAGAACTGTAGATGTATGTGCACTATTTCCGATGTTTGAGATGTACTGATGACAAATTCTTCGACAAGATGATGACGGCATAAATAAAGAAAATAAAAACAGATTTACTTGAGTCGTTGGGATGTATTCAATAAAAATATTTGATTGCTCTACACATAGATGGATAAGGACGAGTAATTTGGTTTTGTTTTTGTGAATCCTTATAGAACTAAATCTTTTTTGTGTGGAAACATCATTTTTATTTTCTTTAAATACATTTAAATTGTTTTATTGTTTATCTTATCCTTTCTAAAATTCCAAACTGCTAGCTGTTTCCCAATTGGCTACTCTTTTATGAATTTAGTTTCATGCAGAAGCATTCATAGTCATATAAATCTTTTGGATTTTTGTTTCACATACATTATATACATTCTTTAAAAAGCTCAAATTCAGTCAGACTAGATAGACACCATCTTTTTCCATTAGATATTTTTTTTTACTACAAACTATATTATTATAAATCATTATATTATACAAGTTTAAGCAGAGGTGTCAAGTAACAAAGTACAAATACTTCGTTACCTTAAGTAGAAATTTTGGCTATTTATACTTTATTGGAGTAATTATTTTTTAGACAATTTTTACCTCTGCTCCTTACATTTTTTTGCAATTATCTCTACTTTCTACTCTTTAACTTTTACAATGGATTCATTAGTTTTGTTTCATTTAAACTCATTTTTGTTATCAGCTGTTATAAAAATAAAAGCCATCAAACAACTTGTTTCATCCAGTTAATTTCTTTGTGGTTAGACTCTGTACTGCACCAACTTGTTGTTTTCTACGTACTGAAATAAATAGTTTTTTAAGGATTTAAAGTTGAATTTGACACCTTTGCCATTATAAAACTAAGAAAATTAAGTATTAGGATATTATTATCCAGAATTACTTTTACTTTAAGGAGTTTTAAAGGTTTACTTCGGTAAAAAGCTTAGGTTGAGACTCTGATTTCTACAAAAGTGTTTTTAAACAGTATGATGTATACTTCTACCTGAGTAATAAACGCAAATACTTTTGAAACCTCTGAGTTTCATAATACAAGTTAAATTTCATTCAAAAATACTTACAAATCCCAAAGAGAAATAAAATATAATTTTACCTATCACAGGGCTTACTTTTTATGTGCAAATCATTGATGATAGTCTACTAATGATGAAAAAACACTTTTTAATAACTAAATAAAAAACTTTATTCAATTCAGTTTATTTCTATAGCTCCAATCCACAACACAGTTTAACCACATCCTTTATTCAAAGTTTTCTATCTAATGAAAACCAGTTGATTTCATTGACTCGGATGCAATCCCTCACACTAAGCATGCTTGTAGCGACAGTGGAGAGGAAAAACTCCCTTTTAACAGGAAGAAACCTCCGACAGAACCTGCCGAGGCCGACTGGGGCTCAAGGAGTCAGATACAGACAAGAAAATACTGTATAAAAAAGAAGAAAAAGAAGCAGATAGAAAAGGAAGCTGTAAGCCAGCTCCACGGGTGTTAATGGCAGCAGCACAGCTGATATTTCTCTCCAGGATGGAGTCACAGCCAAACAGGAGCAGACGAGGCAAAGCTACTATAAGAAA